TAATCTAGTATCAGTCAGTAAATTAACCGTCGATCAAAACTGTCAGGCTAACTTTTTTTCTTCCGGTTGTTAATTTCAGGATTTGACCACGGGGAAGACGATTGGCAATGCTAAGCAAGTTGAAGGTTTATATCTCTTTGAAGATGGATAAGACTTGAGTAGGCAATCCCAGAAAGCTTGTCTCAATTCTATTTCAATTCCTAGTGAGAATGAGATTATGTTATGGCATTTTAGGTTAGGACATCCAAGTTTCTATTTTATGAGACATGTTTCCCAAGTATTTTTTAAATAAAAATCCATCTTCATTTAAATGTGAAATTTGTGAACTTGCTAAACACCGTCAATCTTACTTTCCAACACAACCCTATAAGGCCACAAAACCTTTTACTATAATTCATAGTGATGTATGGGGACCTTCAAGAATAAAAACAATAACTGGAAAAAGATGGTTCATAACTTTCATTGATGACCATACTCAGCTTACATGGGTGTTTATACTTCATGAAAAATCGGAGGCTGAGAGTGTGTTTAAAAATTTTTATAAAATGATTCAAATACAATTTCAAACACGGGTTCAAGTCTTCAGAAGTGACAATGGCAAAGAATATTTCAATGAGATTCTAGGGGATTTTTTCGTGGAAAATGGTGTTATTCACCAAAGTTCTTGCAACAATACTCCACAACAAAATGGAGTAGCTGAGAGGAAAAATAAACATCTTCTAGAGGTAACTAGGTCTCCAAAATGGTCTTTAATGCTCTCCAACAATGTTCCTAAATATTTATGGGGTGAAGCGGTCCTAACATCCACATATTTGATCAATAGAATGCCTTCAAAAGTTTTGAAATTTCAAACCCCTTTGAATTGCTTTCAGAAATGCTTTCCTTCCTCTCGGCTTTCATATGATCTTCCCCTTAAAGTATTTGGTTGCACTGCATTTGTTCACATTCATGATATCAATAGAGGAAAACTTGATCCCAGGGCAAGAAAATGTGTTTGTTGATTATCCTTCAAATCAAAAAGGTTACAAGTGTTTTGATCCAACATCCAAAATTTTTTTTATATCCATGGATGTCACCTTCTTTGAAAATAAACCTTTCTTCATGGCACCTCATCTTCAGGGGGAGACATCTAGTGAAGATTCGACTTTTAATTGGTTATTGGAAGATTTTTTACCTAAGAAAACTAAAAATGAAGAATCCGAAACCACTAAACAAGGAATCTGAAATCATGGTAAACATTGAAAAGGGAGATGTCTCAAATAATGAAAATTTGGGTCAACCCTTTGTGCCATTACAAAATCAAACTCAAGAAGGAAGCGAGATGTGTGCGAGGCAAGGTGGACATCGCTATAAAGGGAAAGTCTATTCAAGGAAGTATCCAGGACAATAGAGAAACGTCGACAACTTGCAGCATGGCCAAGAATCCAAACTGAGGACAAATCCAGAGGTTGAGATCCAATCAGGTGAGTCTATTCATGTTCCTACTGAGTCAAAGTCTTTTGAGCAAATTTTTGTTCAAGAGTCGGATGAAAATTTAAATCTTCCCATTGCTCTTAGGAAAGGCACTAGGACATGAACAAAACACCCGTTGTATACCTTTTTATCCTATGAGAGTCTGTCTCCATCATTTCGTGCATTTACCTCAAATGCCTCATGTTGTCATTCCAAAGAATATACAGGATGCTCTAGAAGTTCCTGAATAAAAAGAGGCAGTCCTAGAGGAGATGAGGGCTCTTGAGAAGAACAAGACTTGGGAAAAGGTTGACCCTCCAAAAGGGAAAACACCAGTTGGGTGTGAGTGTATACCTTTTTATCCTATGAGAGTCTGTCTCCATCATTTCGTGCATTTACCTCAAATGTCTCATGTTGTCATTCCAAAGAATATACAGGATGCTCTAGAAGTTCCTGAATAAAAAGAGGCAGTCCTAGAGGAGATGAGGGCTCTTGAGAAGAACAAGACTTGGGAAAAGGTTGACCCTCCAAAAGGGAAAACACCAGTTGGGTGTGAGTGGGTGTTCACTGTGAAATACAACTCTGATGGATCTCTAGAAAGATACAAAGCTCGGTTGGTTGCAAAGGGGTTTACACAAACCTATGGTATTGATTATTCAGAAACATTTTCACCTGTTGCTAAGTTGAATACTGTGAGTGTTACTTTCTGCTGCAGTTAATCTGGATTGGCCTTTATATTAGCTGGATGTCAAGAATGCATTTCTAAATGGAGATTTAGAAGAAGAAGTGTACATGGAGGCTCCCTCAGGATTTAGTAAAAGTTTCGGAAAAAAGATTTGCAAGTTAAAGAAGTCTTTATATGGACTTAAATAGTCTTCAAGAACCTGGTTCGACAGGTTTACAAGGTTTGTAAAGTCTCAAGGTTTCCTACAAGGGCAGTCTAACCATACACTGTTCATGAATATCTCTGCAGGAGGCAAAATTGCAGTCTTGATTGTTTATGTGGATGATATCATTCTCACTAGTGATGACACTGAAGAAATGGATAAATTGAAGAAAAGTCTCTCAGCTGAATTTGAGATTAAAGATCTAGGTTTCCTCAGATACTTTCTTGGAATGGAAATTGCTAGGTCAAAAAAAGGCATTGTAATTTCCCAAAGGAAGTATATTCTAGATCTTTTAGAAGAAACTGGGATGAGTGGATGTAAACCCTCAGACACTCCAATGGAACCTAATTCAAAGCTTGGAGAGGTTAAGGAAGGAGTTCCTGTTGATATTGGTCGATATCAACGTCTAGTGAGAAAATTAATCTATTTATCCCACACTCGACCAGACATCTCTTTTGCTGTTAGCGTGGTGAGCCAGTTTATGCATGCTCCTTATGAAGAACACTTGGAAGCAGTTTACAGGATTTTGAGATATTTAAAAGGAACTCCAGGAAAAGGATTATTCTTCCAGAAGAGTGACCAACGAAGAATTGAAGTGTCACTGATGCAGACTGGGCAGGTTCTGTGACAGATAGAAGATCCACTTCTGGATATTGTACCTTTATGTGGGGAAATTTGGTAACATGGAGAAGCAAAAAACAAAGTGAGGTGGCTAGGAGTAGTGCAGACGCAGAATATAGGGCAATGGCTCAAGGGATTTGCGAGATACTTTGGCTAAAAAGCATACTGGAAGAACTTTGTAAACCAGTAGAACTTCCCATGAAACTATTCTGTGATAACAAGGCGGCTATCAGCATTGATAATAACCCAGTTCAACATGATAGAACGAAGCATGTAGAAATTGACAGGCACTTCATAGAGGAGAAACTTGAAGATGGAGTCATTTGTGTGCCTTGTCTACCCTCCACGCAACAAATAACAGACATCTTCACCAAAGGGCTACAGAGACAGTTTTTTGACTCATTTGTAAGCAAGTTGGGCATGATCAATATCTATGCACCAACTTGAGGGGGAGTGTCGGTAAATTAGGGATTAGAATAAAGAATAAGTGTAATCCGGGTATGATTAGTTGTACACCGGATATTAGGAAAGAAAAATATTAGAGAATAGTTGACTTTTCTGTTTCCTTATTTTTACAGATTTTGTTCCTTAGTTTAGGGAAGAGATTCGGCCTCCTTGGCCTATATAATCCCTGTACGTTTTTCTCTGAAATAAGACAAAAAGAATAAAGATTATTCTTCTCCTTGCTAATCCCTGTACGTTTTTCTCTGAAATAAGACAGAAAGTATAAAGATTATTCTTCTCCTTGCTTAATTCTTACATAGCATTTAGAAAATCACGAAGTTTTCTGTTATTTAATGATAAGAACTAAATATAATGATAATAAGTTTTCATCATAATAACTAGAAAATATGAGTAAAACTTTAAGGAAAGAACTATTGAAACAACCATAAGGGAGACTATTTAAACTCTTACATGAAGAGACTAGTGAAACTCTAGAGGAAAGAATATTACACTGACAAAAGAAAATGGTGACTTACGAGAATAATATCAGTTGTAATATTACAAAGAAAATCTAAGAGTAAAGTATAACTATGATACAAGACAATGACATAGGTTATTCATACAGATAGACAACATATGTAGCAGAATCTGAGTCAATTGGAAAAATCAATTAGGTAAAAGGAACAAGCATAAAACCTTGGCATAATGCAACAAGTGTAGAAACTAACTGGAAACAAGAAAAATAAAATAAAATAAAATAAAATAAACTCAAAGCTATTTCAAGAAAAAAAATGCCATATAGTGGGAATACATATGGATTACAGAAGAAGCTCCAACCAAATCTAGTTACCAAACAGAGAAAGAGGAAAATAATCCTAATCTATACAAATCATCAAAAACCATTCATACAGTGCTTAATACAAACACTTGATCTATAACATATTCAGGTTAGTATCGATACTACTATACTATTATAGTATAGAAATAAATTAGTCAGGAAAACATAAAAGAAATTGTAGAACTTCACTACTTTCTAAAGTAACGGGAAGATAATCAATACATCATACTAAAACAATCAAATTATGCAAAGTAGTACCAGACTCTAATTGAATTACCCAGAGAAGAAACAAATTTACCTAAACAAACTTCTGAATGTCAAAAACAAATTCTTAAAATAAAGCAATATATGAACAAGCGATGATAAAAAAAAAAAAACTTGTAAATCCATGAGATAAGACTGAGAGGATCCAATTAGTGATTAAAAGCAATGCTGCGTTAGAAACGTATAGAATCACTTCCAATCAAGGGAGATCGGAGATATCACTCAGCACCAAACAAGAGTTGAACACAACTTTCAAGATAAAGTAAAGGCTTGAAAGGTAAAGTATATTTTCCATAGGCAGGCAGAAGAGAAGACAAAATTGATTAGACAGACAGAAAAACCACCACAAAGGTTATAAAGAAACAGTTCAAAGGATTCATATATGGAAGAATTAAGGTTACATGATACACCTAAAAAGAGAGAATTTCTTAGATTTTCCAAACAAACGTATCGAAAGTTTCAATAAAATCAAAGAGAGAGAGAGAGAGAGAGACCTTTTAAAACTCAGGAACGCAGGACCAGAATGAGAGCAATCGAAGGTGACGTTACTTCCTCGGGGGTTTCTTTGAAACTCAGCAGAACTCTACCCTTATATCCCCCAATTTCATTTGTGCGAATTAGGGCGTGAACGGAAAGTATTATTCCGAGATCAAAGACGAGAACTTTACCAGATTCTTAGACGAGAGCAGCGAAACCGGAGAAGAATAGCTGCTGCTGCTGTAAATGTAAGGGGAACCCTTGTTGTTTGTGTTTCTGAGTTTGGCTGTAAATGTAATGGGAACCCTAGTCCACATCGAAAAGGAAAACGCCAAATGGGAGTTAAGTCTCAAACAAAATCCCCCAAAGTTTCTTCCTTTTAATACCAAAAAATAATAATAATAATAATAATAATAATAATTCAAACTTGTTCTCAATTTCCACTAAACGGAAAGCAAAATTTTACAAAACAGGAACGCGCAATTTACAAAACCCCATAATCTTAATCTGATAATTTAGAGAAACCAAATGGAAGCAACAGAAATTTGCCTCCACATCTCCAAATTACTGAGCCGAAGGCCAAAAACCGTATAAACAGATAAGCAAAATATCGAGCAAGATAATAGCATTAGACGTGAAATATATAATATGCTCGTAAAATTGGTTTATAGAAGCGAGGGATGCGAATAGTAGAGCTTGCAGAGAATCGAAAAATACCTATGAGAGTGAAGCTCGTAAGAAGGTTAGGGATTCGTTTCGGTCAGAGACGAAGGAGGCGAGTCGGCCAAGGCGTTGAGCCTTGAAATCGCATGTGGAATCGCGAGAGAGATGAAGATGGTGGACCGGAGACTGGAGGCGTCCCTGGCGGCGGCAGGTTTAGAGAGAGAAAAGAAGGGAGACGTGAGGTTTTAGAACGGAGGAGAGGGAGGGAGCAGAGGGTATAGTAGTAAAATAGTATTTTTTTTATTTTTATTTTTATTTTTAAGAAGTCATATGGATAATTAAAATAAAATTATGCACAACGAGTTTTTTATTTTATTTTAAGAATTAATTTAAGTGCGTCATGATCTACATTTTAAAGTAATGCCAATTGTATGGCATCAAAAACTACGATACAGTATGTTTTTTTAAAAATTAATTACGCAAATTTCTTTTGAATTATACTACTTATAACATTTTACTTTTTAATCTTTAAAATATAACATATGTTTTTTTTAACAATAAAATGTTAACAAATGCGGCTTCCTAGGGCTGCCTTTTTTTGGTAGTACGTTATCAAATGCGGCTATCTGGGTCCCTTTTAGTTCGTTATCAAAGGCAGCTGTCTGAGTCACTTTTAGTACGTTATCAAAGGCGGCTGCCTGAGTCACTTTTAGTACGTTCTCAAAGACGGCTGCCTGGGTCACTTTTAGTACATTATTAAAGGAGGTTGTCTGGCCACTTTTAGTACGTTATCAAAGGCAATTGCCTGGGTCACTATCAGTATGCTATTAAAGGCGGCTGCCTGGGTCACTTTCAGTACGTTATTAAAGGCGGCTGCCTGGGTCACTTTTAGTACGTTATCAAAGGCCCGTCTAGGTCACTTTTAGTATATTATCAAAGGCGGCTACTTGGGTCACTTTTAGTACGATATCAAAGGAGCCTGCCTAGGTCACTTTTAGCACGTTATCAAAGGCGCCTGTCTGAGTCACCTTTAATACGTTATCAACGGCGCCTGCCTGGGTCACTTTTACTACGTTATCAAAGGCGGCTGCCTGGGTCACTTTTACTACGTTATCAAAGGCGGCTGCCTGGGTCAATTCTAGTACGTTATCAAAGGCGGCTACCTGGGTCACTTTTAGTGTGTTATCAATGGCGGCTGTCTGGGTCACTTTTAGTGTGTAATCAAAGGCGGCTGTCTGGGTCACTTTTTGTGTGTTATCAAAGGCGGCTGCCTAGATCACTTTCAGTGTGTTATCAAAGGAGGCTGCCTAAGGCACTTTTAGTGTGTTATCAAAGGCGGCTATCGGGTCCCTTTTAGAGTGTCATCAAAGGCGGCTACTTGGGTCACTTTTAGCGTGTGATCAAAGGCGGCTGTCTGGGTCACTTTTAATGTGTTATCAAAGGCGGCTGCCTGGGTCACTTTTAGTGTCTTATCAAATGTGGCTGTTTGGGTCACTTTTTGTGTGTCATCAAAGGCGATTGCCTAGGTCACTTTTTGTGTCTCATCAAAGGCGGCTACCTGCGTCACCTTTAGTGTGTCATCAAAGGCGGCTGCCTGCATCACTTTTAATGTGTCATCAAAGGCGGCTGCCTGGGGCACCTTTAGTGTGTCATCAAAGGCGGCTGCCTTGGTCACTCTTAGTGTTTCAACAAAGTCGGCTGCCTAGATCACTTTTAGTGTGTCGTCAAAGGCGGCTACCTGGGTCACTTTTAGTGTGTCATCAAACGCGGCTGCCTCGGTCACTTTTAGTGTGTCATCAAAAGCAGCTGCCTGGGTCACTTTTCGTGTGTCATCAAAGGCGGCTGCCTGGGTCACTTTTAGTGTGTCATCAAACGCAGCTGCCTGGGCAATTCTAGTGTGTCATCAAACGCGGCAGTTTGGGTCACTTGTAGTGTGTGATCAAAGGCGGCTGCCTGGGTCACTTTTAGTGTGTCATGAAAGGCGGCTACTTGAGTCAATTTTAGTATGTCACCAAAGGCAGTTACCTGGGTCACTTTTAGTGTCACCAAAGGCAGCTGTCTGGGTCACATTTAGTATGTTACCAAAGGTGGCTGTCTGGGTCACTTTTTTTGTGTTATCAAAGGCAGATGCCTGGGTCACTTTTAGTATGTTACCAAAGGTGGCTGCTGTTGGTAACCAAATTGAATTCGGATGCGGAAGCGTGGCGGGGTGGCGGATCGTGTATAACAAAAATTTCATAAAGCTTTTGAGATACTCTATAGATTATATTAATTTATGCACGAATAAATTAAGCACATTAATTTATATGTCAAGAACTCAATTAGGAAAAATACCTGGAGGCCGACTCAGATGATAACTTGAGTTCTTTGACCACGAATAGTCTTTGCTCCAATCTTTGTATTTAGAAAACCAAAGTCTTCCACGTCAATTTCTTGATTCCACGTAGACGTGTGTGTGGGCACACGTGAGACAAAACATGTTTCAAAAACACTCGAATTTCCACAAACACCAACGCATGCACGATGTGGAATTTTTGGGAGAAAAAATTTTCCTTTCTTTTTTCCTTTGAGAAATTCGGCCACACTCACAAGTTAGGGCAGAAAAATGTTTTCAAAAATTATGTCCACAATTTTCTATCATTCTCATATTTAAAGAGTAGAAGTCAAACTTCAAAAAGGAATCAAATCTCTATCTCCTATTTGAATTTTGAAAAAAAAATTTCCCTTTCTCTTATCCACCAAAGTCTTCCACGTCAATTTCTTGATTCCACGTAGACGTGTGTGTGGGCACACGTGAGACAAAACATGTTTCAATAACATTCGAATTTTCACAAACACCAACGCATGCACGATGTAGAATTTTTAGGAGGAAAAGTTTTCTTCTCTTTTCCTTTGAGAAAATTCGGCTACCACTCAATTAGGGCTGAAAAATTGTTTCAAAAATTGTGTCCACAATTTTCTATCATTCTCATATTTAAAGAGTAAAAGTCAAACTTAAAAAAAAAAGAATCAAACTCTATCTCCTATTTTGAATTTTGAACAAAAAATCTCTTACACCTTATCTCTAATGTGGCCGGCCACTCTAGGGTTTTTCTCCCTTGTGTGTGGCGCCAATCCTGGATAGGGAAGGAAGAGAAATCATCCTTTATCCTGTACTCCAATTTTAATTCAAATTCAAATTCAAATTTAAGTCAAACTTAAATTAATTTGAATTCTAAATTGAACAACTTATCAAATAAGTTTAAAAGGATAAATTTAAATTATGTTCATGATTCAAATTCAAATTTAAATAATCACATTATTTAAATAATAATTAATTTTTAATTAATTATTTTTCGAGCATTTAATTTTAGAATTCCATAATTCTAAAATTCCTATTTTGCCCTTTGTGTCTGGTAGAATTACAAGGACGACTCGGGGACTTATGGACCTATATTCCCGAGCTCTAATAAAATTAATAATTAATTTAATACTTTAATTAATTAATTAATTCTATTAATTCTAATAGTTACTCCACTATAAACTTGAATCCGTACCGAGTAAATCAAAAGACATAAATCCATAAATAGGAGTCTGTTAAGAACTCATGATTAAGATCATTCTATATATGACTATCGGTAGACTCAATTAGAATTTCTATACTTAACAGAAATTATTAGAAATTCATATTGTGTCTGTGTCCTTGTTCCACATAATCTCATTATGTGAAATACACTCATTCAATATCTCACCATATTAACAGTGCGGATAGCACCGTTCCATTCTAAATGAGAATGACATGTATTAATAATGTTTTAATTAAAGATTCTGAACTTTAATTAAATTCATTATGAACAATGTTTTTTATTATTATCCTTAAACACTATCCTCTCGTATATAACACTTATATAATATGTTTAAAGTTACATAAATAATCACGGAATTTTCATTTGATATTCATAAAATATTCATAAATATATGCACATAAAATGATGAATAAACTCTTTTATTATTTTAATAATAAATATCCTATTACATCTTATGTTTCTAGGACACTATTCCCAACAGCTGCCTGGGTCACTTTTAGTGTGTTATCAAAGGCACCTATCAAACGCGGCTACCTAGGTCAGTTTTAGTGTCTTATCAAAGGCGCCTGTCAAAGGTGGCTGCCTGGGTCACTTTGTGTGTGTTATGAAAGGTGTCTACCTGAGTCACTTTTAGTGTGTTTTCAAAGGCGGCTGCCAAGGTCACTTTTAGTGTGTTATGAAAGGCGGCTGCCTCGGTCACTTTTAGTGTGTTATCAAAAGCGTTGGCTTAGGTCACTTTAAGTGTGTAATCAAAGGCGGTTGTCTGGGTCACTTTTTGTGTGTTATCAAAGGTGGCTGCCTGGGTCACTTTTAGTATGTCATCAAAGGTGACTGTCTGGGTAACTTTTATTGTGTTGCAAAGGCGGATGCCTGGGTCACTTTTTGTGTGTTATCAAAGGCGGATGCCTGGGTCACTTTTAGTGTGTTATCAAAGGCGGCTGCCCGGGTCATTTTTAGTGTGTTACCAAAGGCAGCCGCTAGGGTAACATTTTGTGCCTCATCAATGGCGGCTGCCAAGGTCACTTTTAGTGTGTTATCAATGGTGGCTATCTGGGTAACTTTAAGTGTGTCATCAAAGGCGGCTGTCTGGGTCACTTTTCGTGTGTTACCAAAGGCAGCTGCCTGGGTCACTTTTAGTATGTTACCAAAGGAGGCTGCCTGGGTCACTTTTAGTATGTTATCAAAGGCGGCTTCCTAGCGCTGCCTTTTTTTTATAGTACGTTATCAAAGGCGGCTACCTAGGTCACTTTTAGTATGTTATAAAAGGCGGCTGCCTACGACACTTTTAGTAAGTTATCAAACGCGACTGTCTCAGTCACTTTTAGTACGTTATCAAACGCGACAGCCTGGGTCACTTTTAGTGTGTTATCAAAGGCGGCTGCATGGGTCACTTTTAGTGTGTTATCAACGGCGGCTGCCTGGGTCACTTTTAGACTGTTATCAAAGGTGGCTGTCTGGGTCACTTTTAATGTGTTATCAAAGGCGACTGCCTAGGTCAGTTTTAGTATGTTATCAAAGGCAGTTGCCTAGGTCACTTTTAGTGTTTTATCATTGGCGGCTTCCTGGGGCACTTTTAGTGTGTTATCAAAGGCGGCTGTCGGGTCACTTTTAGAGTGTCATCAAAGGCGGTTCCCTACATCACTTTTAACGTGTCATCAAAGGCGGCTGCCTGGGGCACTTTAAATGTGT